GTAGTAGTAGTAGTAGTAGTAGTAGTAGTAGTAGTAGTAGTAGTAGTAGTAGTAGTAGTAGTAGTAGTAGTAGTAGTAGTAGTAGTAGTAGTAGTAGTAGTAGTAGTAGTAGTAGTAGTAGTAGTAGTAGTAGTAGTAGTAGTAGTAGTAGTAGTAGTAGTAGTAGTAGTAGTAGTAGTAGTAGTAGTAGTAGTAGTAGTAGTAGTAGTAGGTTTAATTATCTCATAAGCATAAAATAGCAATTTCAAAACAAGAGAGAATCGGCCGTCATTCTCTCATTATTATTTCTTTGTCTTCAACTGCGCCGCGTAATTTCATTAAGTGACAAAATTTATATCTGTTTCCGGTGTCATACTCCTTTTGTATGTTTTGTCGCTCCCTTTAAACATAACTATTATATCTGCAGTGATCATCTGATTCTATTTGAAGGACGTTAGGCGACGTTTAACATCTCATCATGCTCTGGCAGTATGCATTTGAGAGCACTTTAAGAAATTTTTGGTATTTGCAATGTCGAATAGTTAAAGCATTATTGATCATATCATCATCATCAATCATTATCAGTCATCATCGTCATATCATCATCATCATCACCGTCATTGTCATTATCGTCATCAGTCATCAATCATCACCACCATCATAGTCATGGATGATTCAGTTAATTGATTTACAGGAATTACATTCGTTAGAATTGTTTCAGCTTACTGTAATGCTTCTTCACTGCTATTTAACTCACAATGAAACAACTGTAGAAATGAATAATTGCATTTCGAAACTGAAATTAATTTTATTTCGAAACTGTTAAACATTTCAAGTAAACAAATGGAAACTGTATATTGCTGAATACTGGAATGCATTACTGAAGCGTACATATTTATTTTCTTATCATCCCAATATTTTTTGAAAATATTTATTTGCAACACAAAGCGATACGGACTGAGAGGTAGATACTGCCTCCCTTCACTAAATTAATGACTGTTCATTCCTGTACGGTGATCCTGAACGCTATCTATGACCGTTTTTCCGCACCTTCTCTTTACATCGTTTATTCGATGTTATGGTTTCCGGAACACAAAACTTTCCCTAATTTCCTTTTCCTTCTTCTTTTCAATTGTTTCATTGCGGGAAAAAGTTTGTATGAAATGAAAAAGAGGAAAGGACCGAAATTTTTATGATCATCCTTCAGTGTCGCCAACTCCGTTTCTCCGTTTTCCTGTAGCATTCGATGGTTTCCGTCCGTTTCATCATCAAACATGAATGATTTTTATAAGGGATTGTTTGAATTATGGAAAAGAGGATGTATTGAGAAACTAATGGTTCGGGTACCCAAAGACAAGGAGAGGTAAGATTGAGGAGGGTAGCGGTTAAAACGGGTTCTCTGCCCTTCCCTTCACGGCTCGAACGAAACCAACCGATCGCCTAATCATCACTTCCTTACTCTCCCGCTCCTAACTTCAACCGTCACCACCCTTCAGCCACTAACTACTATTGCTATTACCAGAAACCATTACAACTCATATAGAGATATGAATACACACACATACACACATACATACATGCGCACACACACACACACACACACACAGACACATGCACATACACATACACGCACACATACATATATGCATATAGTACATAGATGCATATACATGTATATATGAATGTACAATTGGATACGTCATTTTGCGTCCATCGGAAGGTGGGATTGTCGCATGACGGATGGAATCAGCATTGAATAGTGATCATTCCTCTCCCTGCTCCCGCCTTCTCTTTGATGAAATTTTTAATTTTTATTTAAACTACATAATCATCTCCAGGTGACTTCTTTTCTCTTAATAATTATCATCATCGTTTGAACAGAGTGACGAAGGCGCAAATTTACCTCATACTTTTTCTGTTACATTTCTCAGTTCATACAATCAAACATTTCTGTATGATACTTTGATGAAATACATTTATCACTTTTTAACTTCTTATTACCTTATCTATCAATTTACCAAATAAAACTTTCTTTTACAGTATTCATCAAGGAAAAGGAGAACTAATAAATTATCTTCCGTACTACAGTTTCATATTTTTTCAATTTTTAATATCGGGAAAAAAGACAATCTGAGATTAATTTTTATAATTTTTTCTCTAAACTCATAACTTTTGAATTTAGATAAAAGTACTGCCTTACACGATTGATGAATTTTGTCACATAAGATGACACTATCTGAACAGCTCATCCTACTGTTATAAAATTCATCCTTTGGTCCTGTTTATTAAAGGAATGAGAAATGAGTTATTATTTGCTTAATAAAGCAATTTCCTTTCACATTCAATCAACAGATTGTAATTCTGATAAATTTTTTTTATAAGGATAGTATGATATTATTTTATGTGTTATGCTAATGCTTATTTGACCATTTCTCTTTTTTAAATTAATATGCATTTCAATTATGAATATTCGTCAAATAAAAAGCAATTCTATCAAAATTACATCCAGTTTTTGTTCAAGTTTTTTGTTTTTGTCAACCTTTTCGAAAATAATATGCCTTACGAAATTGTCATATCTTTCATGCAAGTAAAAAGTTAAATGGAGCAATAAAAATATATATAAAGATCTAATCTTTACTTATAACTAGAATAATAATTTCTTTTTTGATTGTTTTTCATTAAAGTGAGCAGCAAAGGAACAAACTATACCGTTGACAATAATCGATCAAGGTTGAATTTTTCTGCTTTTATCGCCATCATTCGGTATCATGACAAGTTTAAGGTTGACAGTTTAAACAGTATCAGTTACTTCCTAATTAGTCTAAGAAATCCTTTCTCATTGTTAATTGCATAATTCATCTAAAGCTATGCTTTTGTCGAAGGTAATAAATGTTTACAATAAAATAATTAAAATACAATGTGTAAAAGAACTAAAAAATGCATACTTCATCCTATTTGTATAAAAGATTCGTGAAACAGGATCAGTGCCGCTAATGAGATTTCGATTTGTCGCATCGACTGGAGGAGTTGTTATTCTGTCAAAGTTACTCCATCCGGTACAAAATGTAATTTCATCGGGGAGGGTGCAGACATATACACACAAAGATATATCCTTAAGCGAATAAACACGAATTTAAAAAATTTTTGAATTTGACCTCCTTAAAGGTCTGTTCAATCCATTTATATTTTTCTATTTAATATTCTTCGCAATGTTTTCTACCAATAATTGTTTTTGAATCATATCTTTCTGAATTCTCATAAAATTCTGTTGAATTCGTTTAACTTATGCAATATTTCCTTTTTCCTTCATTTTAAATATAAATAATATTTTAATTTTATTCTTTGTTCCAAGTAAGTAACCATTTCATCAAAAGAGAAACACAAATCTAATTTTTGCTATCAAAAACATTTAAATGAAATTTGTAAAGAGAACTTTGTGGCAAAAAAATCAGCTTCTTTCATTTTTTACTTGAAAAATGTAAATACAAATTACTTTTTCGAAATAATTCCAGGAAAAGATAATAAGTAGATGCAAACTAACTCATCATCCTTGCCAACAGAACTATAAACCCTTGAAATTACCTTTCATATATAACATGTACAATCATTGCAGTATTTTTAGAAGAGAAGAAAAAAAGAAATAGAAAGTTTTGTTAAGTAAGAATGAAAATTTAAGAAATAATTACCTACGAAAAATGGAGTATTAGTTCCTCTCCAACTTACTTCTTTCTCTTTTTATTTCAACTTCTTATCTCCTTTTTCGCCTTAATTAACATTTCCCTCTCTTTTTTATCTCCATTGTCTCATTTAAATTGTAATAAACATTAATTATCATATGCATAGATTGAAAAATTACAATTTTCGAGCAGTAAATGTGCGAAATTTTGAACAGAAATGAAAACTGTGTGGAAGTTAAGAATGTTTGAAATTAGAGGGACTGTAATCGTCTGAAGGTCAACTGCGTCCATTTCATCCATTCATTCCATCCGTTCATTTCTCCTTTCTTCCATTAAGTAATTTTGGTCATTTTTAAAGTATAGAATAAAAAACAGGAAATCAATCTTCCGTCTAATGCTTCCTTCCTACGTTTTGTCAATGTCGTTTTTTGTTTAGATCTCAAACAAATTTATTATTCCACTATTTCGTCCCTTTGTAATTTCAGTTTAACATCGTAGTGCGCTTTTGGACAAGATGTTCGTATCACGTGATAAACGTCAAGTTTAATAATTCCTTTTTCTCCATTCATAACTTGCATATGTAAGTATATTTATTAACATTGTAACATTTTCAACATATTTTCAGTCTAATGGTTAGGTAATGGAAAAGTTTCGGATTTTTATCGAAAGCAAATCGCAACAAATCTTTTACAAAACAGGATTATACATCGCACGAAGACCAAAAATTTTCTTATTTTCAATGTAAGTTTTATTCGCAGTCAATTTTGAAATAGTTTTATCACAAATTCTTGCAGATTGCAAAAACAATTTTCGGATGGAAAATTAAAGATTAATGTTTTTTTTTTTCAGTGCATTTTAATACAGTATAAATTTTATAGTAATGATTGCTGCACTTTTGGTATTATTCACTAGATATGTCCAAATCTATGAATAGATTAGAAATAATATTAAATTTGACGTCATCTTTTGTAATTTTCCAATGCAATTTAATCGTCAAATTCGTAGGCAATTGTCGCATTATTCTGTTTGTTAAAATTTGAGGAAAAAAATGGAAGGAAAAAAGCGCAAAATGATTTGATTTTTAGTGTAACAAATAAAATCAGAATGATTATTGAATTATTTTGTATGAATGGAAGGATAAAAACTGGTATTTTGATTTGTACGGGAAGATTACAGCACATGTTTTGACTTCAACATATTGTTCCAATATCTTACAACTAGTTTCTGACCTTTTTTTTTTTCTTCAAATGCTTATATTTGCAAAACTTTTTCATCCAACAGCAAATTAAAACTGAGTTATCATCAGCTGATGCGCAATAATGCTTGAATCGATACCTTAGCGTAACGCTGAAAGTTACTTGGAATTGAGAAAAGAAAATATTATGATTTTAGGTTCAGTATACTGTGTATCTGCACGTTTAGTTACTAATATTTAAAAAAGTATGTATGAGCAAATACTAATGAATTACCCGAAAAGACGGGAGAACGGAGATTTTAATTTTATGGATGATTATGCCTAACAATTCTGCGATAAAATCCATTCTTTAACTTACACATCAAATCTACAAGCAAATAAATGTGTTAAATTGAAAAGAAGAAATTCTGAATTGATTACTGTAAGTACAGTATATCTACTGTCACTGCAATTATGTTTGTAACTTATGACGTACCTGACTACAGAAAGGATAATATTAAACAAATTGAAAAGGTAAAATGATTAAATTAGTAATAAATGAATGAATAGATGAAACAGAGTGGTATAGCATGGCAAGAAAATAAGTCAATAGTAAACCACAGTATACCCGTAAAGAGCATTTTTCTTTGAAAAAAGATGTGCAAAAAATTTCAAATAAATGATGACTATAACTACCTTTATTTTTCCATCTAAGTTTAATTTATATTCTCTTCATTGTTAACAGTGAGATATTGATATGATGTGATCCGTGGAAAATAATTTATTGATCACGTTTGTTGTTCATCTTCCATTTTGAGACGCTTTTTAATCCAATTTATATCAATTTTTCCTGCAAATTTTCTGATCTAAATGTTATTAAAACTGATATCACTGACCCAATTCTATTGATTGATTTGATAAAGTCTAACTTATCAAGCATTTTTCATTCACTATGTTTACCGAATGATTTTATTTTAGATTATTGTCGACAGCTTTGTTGGCAACAGGTGCAGTAAATTTCCACGAACATAATAATGTTCGTGAAGACTTCAGTGCGGATGATTCGCCATCACGGTATGAATATGCCGTCACCGAAGATTTCTTTCGAAGTTTCGGGTCACCATTTCATGTGGTGGTAGCTATGAAAGCTGCTGATGATGGATCACTGTTAAGACCTAAGTAAATTTTGCGTCTTGTCGGCGTAAATGCATAATTTAATGAGCAGATAATTTCTCATACCGTGTCATATCATAGGGAAAATATCAAATTGGAAATTAAATATGAAGTCTTATCTAGTATGATCATTTCTGACACGAGTATTATTATTTGGATAATGGTCATCAAATATTTCGAATCAGATCATTTGTAGGCAATGAGCTAATTTATCTCATTCATACTCTCTTTCATTGCCATAATTATCCTCAGATCTTTCAATTTTCAATCTCCATTATTTGAATATGAATCTAAAATTGAAGTTTAGGTAAAAGTAAATAAAATAATTTTGTTCATTTATTTTTCCTTAATTTCGAATGTTATTGCTACTACAGCAATTAGTTGTAAACTTAAAACTAACATTAAAGATATTTGGACAAAGTAATTGAGACCGAAGATTATTTGCAATCTAAACTCAGTGTTCCATATAATGGACGACAGATTACTTATTCGGATTTTTGCGAATCTAACTGTGAAACGAGTGATGTTGTGAGCATTTTTCTAAACATGTACAGAGAAGTTCATATCAGGTATGATATAATTCTCTCCCATCACTTTTCCCTCAATCCAATGTGACGGACAACTTTTATAAAGTTTTTAAATTTATTGTTTCAGAAAAAAGGGAAACGTCAAGTTAACATATCCATCCATGGATGTATTTGGTAATCGGATATATTTAGCCAATAATATTTTTCAAGTGCAACTTAACAACAAGTTAGTTGTTCATCGATTTGAAATAATCATTAGCATCAGAATCATTTGAAAATGATGGTAGTCACAATAGTAATGGTAGTAGTAATCATTAACTTTTACTTCTTTAGTTAGGATCGATAATGTTGAAATTCCTAAATATTCTATTTGAAGATACAGCAGTTGAGTAAACTTCTTTCGATTAAGAATTTGAAACTTTCAACATGAAAAGGTGCATCGAAAAGAATCTCTACCTAAACATTATGCAGAAAAAAAAAGGAATTTTACCACAAAATCACCTCGACAAAAACTATTTGCACGAATTTGATGCTTTGTTGTAGTCCACATGCTTTCTGCATTATAGTTGCAATGATAAGAGATCGTATTTCGGAAAATATTGAAATGAAAAACATTCTAATTTGCATACCGGTGACCACAAGATATTGATTAACTTGTAAGTATCATTGCAAAAATCGAAATTAATTCTTACTAAATTATTATGGCCAAGGTTAATTAGCTGTCCGACTTTTGCATTTTAGCCAACACTAAAATTTCTATCATTATATTGACCGACCATCATTTATTACTACAATCATTTTTACAATCAATTATCTAATAACTTAATTTGAAGATCTCATATAATCGAAGGTTGTCGAATGATTGCAATTAACTTTCAAGCAATTCAAAAGAATGCTTCAAGTGTAGAAATAATGAATCGCTGGGAGCATGAGGTGTTCATGTTCTCTGAAAGTACTAAAAATGATTCATTGATCCGAGTCTATGCTACATCTGAAGGCTTAGTCAGCAAAGAAGTCCGTCGGACAGGTTTGCATATCAGAATCTTTCATTCCTTTTTGTTTCATTTAAGATTGAAAATTCCGAGAAATGAAAAGTTTCAGTGTCGAGGAGAAAACTAAAACGAAATTTCGAAAATAAATAAAATAATTCAGAAATAAAACAAGAGATAAAATTTTGTATTCTCATGATATACCATGAATGGCTAAGTCTACAGGTAAATAGGCTGGTTTTATTAAAAGGTCCTGATTTCACATTTAAGGTCTTTCATTACCTCACTTTACCGAAGCCTATCCATTTCAGGCTTACAAGCATTGCCTTTTATTACTGTATCCTTTCTTGCGGTATTATTATTCACAGTGATAACATCACTGAAACGAGATCCAGTAACCAGTAAGCCATGGGAAGCAGCATTCGGCGTCTTCTGTCCCATCCTTTCACTTGTCGCATCCTTCGGACTACTGTTTTGGGTGTGTAAGTTTCACTGTTGAGCTGAAGAATTCAAAAAGCAAAAAGAAGTGAAATTAGAAAGGAAAATATGAGTTTCCGATAATATAAAAAATTCATCAAAAAAAGTTTTTTTTTTGAATCCTTATCAAAAGTAAAGGATCGACAAGAATTGACAAAAATAGCAAATTATCTTTTCTCATATCATCAAAATATTCAAAAATCAGGTAAATGATAGCCTAGATCAAAAGATCAGAACAAGCTAAAAAATCCTTTACCTTCCTGAGACAATTTCCATATTAACTTGAAAACTTGTTGATTTCCAATGTAAGAGATGAAACGAAGGTCTGATCATTGCTCTATAATTAAACATGAAAGAATTATTAACAATCAAATTTTTAGTGTAACTTCCCTTTCTTACCAATCGTCTGTGTGGTACCATTTCTGGTGTTAGCAATTGGTGTTGACGATGTGTTCATCTTTCTTCACTGTTATCATCGAACTGATCCCAGACTTCCTGTTGAAGAACGAATTGGTAAAATGCTTGCTGAAGCTGGGCCATCGATAACGATCACTTCCCTCACCAATTTTTTATCATTTGCGATCAGTATTTTCACGCCAACCCCAGCTATACAGGTAATTCACTTCCACTCCCTGAAAAAAATCAAATGAGAAACGATTCATTAGATGTATTTAAAAGGACATGGACTTTATTATCTTTGACGAGGTGACATCTCGTTTAGACCTTCCCTTCCATGAGGAACTTTCTATGACTTTTGTGGGGTCTGCTTTTCCTTCCACTGTTTTTCTTTTCAGAAAGATAAAACTTTTGAAGTAACTTTACTTTGCAGATATTCAGTGCATATATCAGTGTTGCGGTAGTATTCGACTACACTTATCAAATTTTCTTGTATTCTGCAATTTTGACTTTTGGCGCGCACCGCGAGAAAAAACACTTGCATGCATTCATTCCGTGTATATCGATTTCTGAAACTGAGAAGGTTATTTTCAACATTTTTGAATTTCTATTTTCAAATTATCGTTCTTTTGAGTGACAGAAAAATATTTGGCAAAATACGTCAGCTCGAGGCAATACTATAATTCAAGCTTAATTTTAAAGTTTTTGTTATGTACCGGTCTAAAGTTCGTTTTGTTTATTAATCTTTTGGTCAACGGTTTTTTCGGGAGAAGCACGAAACTAAACATCCATATTTTGTGCGTCTTTTTTATGGCCAATCATTGTAGCTATGATAATAATAATAACAACAATGATAACTAATTTCTGATATGATTCGATTGATTTTCTGGTGATAATAATCACTAAATTTTTCGATTTATTATTGTTACTGTAAATGAATTCGCATATTTTCTCACATTAAAATTTACCGTTCCCATTCATGACAATAGCAATAACAAAGAATTCAATAACAACTAATAACAATGATGAAAATGTCTTTTCAGCGATCGCTCAAAACCCAATCAGATATTTCGGATACTCTGGAAGAATTAATGAATGATTTTATTGATTTATGGGTAAATATAGCAATGAATAATGTGACAAGGATAATTGTCGCTTGCTTTATGATCATTTATTGCATCGTTGCAACACATGGAGTTATGCAAATTAAAGTATGATTTTCATTCAATTTATCAATTATTTCTGCACCATTCTAATTGAAATCTTTCTCAGAGAAATGTAATTATGTCTGTAATTTATGCTATGTTTTGTTTACATTACAATGTTTTTACTATTTAGACCATTTTCCATCGAAGACTAATTTATGCTTATTTATTGCTTATTTTTGTTTAGCTAAATTTACCTTTTCTTGCTTTGCATTTGCTATTATCCTTCAAACATTTCACTTAATTTAGCTAATTTTATACTTTTAATCTATATTAAATCTTCGTTTTTAACAAATATTTTTATTTTAAGTTCTATAGTAAACTTTTCAAGAATTTCAGAAAAACTTATTATTATTACAGGTTGGGTTAACATCAGAAAAGTTATTCTCATATGATTCACCATTGTTACCATTCGTAAAATTGCAAACCGAAATTATTTTCAAAGAAGGTGGCCAGGTAAGTAGTATTATCGTATCTCAATGGCTGAAATCATTTATTCATTTTTCATTCACACTCATTAACTTCTAATTAGCAAGCCATCTTCTTTATGGGTAACTTTACTCTCCTTTAATGAATTTATTGTTGCTGTTGGCATGGTTCTCCTGAAATTCGCTGCACCACCAAAATTTTCAACACTTATAATAGCTTAGTTTTTAGTACTTTTATGTTCAATTTTAAAATGTAAATTCAATATTTGGAACGTTAACTCTAAGTGGTTGATATTACTTTTTGTTCTTTAAGATTGCAAGTTTGATTTCTCATTAAAGATTCTAATTGACATTTTCGAATTCTTTAAGCATATGGCATAATTTTCAAATGTCGTTTAGTGAATGCTAGCAAGATTGAAAAATCCTGAAAACATCTCAGAATCTATTGCAGGTTGCCGTATTTGTAAATAATCCAGGTGATATGCGGAAACCAGAAATAATTCCGGAGATAATGCGACTTGTCAATGATTTTGAACATGCTACAGGAAGTATCGGTTCCGCTAGTACTCATCTATGGTTTATTCCATATTTATCGTATGTAGGGATACAGGTATGTCAAATGAGCTTGAATTCTTTATATCTTACAATAATTCTGCCTTCTTTGCGCCAGATATCTTTTATGCCAATCCAGGTTTTTTCCTTTTTATCACTTTGCCAGATTGTTCTTCAAGTTTTTAACTACATGAAAAAAAAAAAGGATAAGGAAGAGCCTATCCATTTCTTTATTTATTACTTTGCAATGAAAAAAAAAAGAGTACTTGATTTTATTTGCAGGAACATGGCGAAATTGGTTTTAAATATAAATATTTGCCGGAATTCATGAAACTGCGTGAATATCATAGTTGGAATTCATTTGTCAATCTGGGATTAACTGAGTTTGTGATAAAATGAAGCTATCTTGATTATAGAAATGAAAACGAACCAATTATTCTCTAAGTTTTCAAACTTCATTCCATAAACCTTTATTAAATCGTTTTCTTTTTTTAGCATATATGAAGAGTATTTGTTACAGGGATTGTATGAATGAGAAACCAACATGTTTACAAAAATTCTTCTTCTCAACGGGTTTTCGAAATGCTGTGCAATGGTCGGAGCGTTTACAACTGCTTCAGGAATGGCGTAATATTGCGGCTCATTATTCGAAATTTAATGTTTCAATTTATGAACCTTTCAGTATGTATGCAGATCAGGTATTAATATTGTTTGAAATTATATCTCAAATTTTCATGAATGAAAGAGTGATTGATGAATATGATTATTTAGGTTAATGGATTTGTTAAGATAACATAAGATTGTTATAATATTTCTTAACTAAAATCAAGATCGATCTATAAAATTGTATTATTTTAATTTCAAAATAAATGCAGAAAATTGACTTTACTCAATGTAAAACTTCTGATGCAATTGACATTAGCGCACTTTGATGAATTGATCAAGGATTGAGTAGGAGACAGAAATCTTCCTTAATTATTAGTTGATCCATGTGAATGAACAGAATCGTTCCAGCTGCTTACAATAGTTCCGGTGACGAAGTCCACTGTAATATTTGCATTTATTGTTATGGCACTTGTACTGACCGCTTTCACACCCTCTATAACAACAATTGTTTCATCTACTCTTACCATTTTATCAATCAATTTGGGAGTGCTCGGATCATTGACATATTGGAACATCGATCTTGACCCTATTTCAATGGCTACTATATTGATGGCTATTGGGTTCTCTGTGGATTTCATTGCTCATATCACATTCCATTATTACAAAGGCCAAACAAAGGTAATTTTAGAATAAATGATGAAATTTTTTATCAGGAAAGCAGCTGTTCTAAATTGTAAATAATTAACAGATTTGTTCTTTATTTCGAAAATGATCCTAATTATTAAATTTTTTTTAAGGGTAAACGTGAACGTTTGAAGCATGCCCTTAGATCAATAGCATGGCCTATGACACAAGCTGGTATTTCGACTATATTATGTCTATGCGTTCTTGGTGTCATCCAAGCCTATATGGTGAAAGTTTTCGTAAAAGTAGTAGTAATAGTTGTCGTGCTTGGCCTTCTTCATGGTCTGATTATTTTACCAGTTGTTTTTGGTGCATTACCACCGCGGAAACGAATTGTTGCTGACGTTGAGAAAGTGTCCAAAACTTCAGCTCTGCAAAAGGTTCGTCACCAATAATTATTTCTGCTTCTAGAACTGTATGTTTAGCCCATATTTTATAGTTTTTGAGTCGGAATACTAGAAATTATCCAATGCTTCAAAGAAAATTAATTAAATTAACACTTAAAATAATACGATAGAAGTAAGAACTCACAGAGAAGCTACGATAAGAGAGTTAAAAGAAAAAACTTAGAGATTTCACTGGAATTTTGAATTTCACTGAACTTTTGTTTTAATTTTGCTAATGTTCCTCAAAATTGGTCACCTTCATATCAATTTACAGAATCACACGATACGAATAGTTGTACCAGCAGCAACACCAATAACGATCAGAAAAAATGAGCTGGAAAAGCAAATTTCCGCGGGTCCACGCTATCAAGATTCGAGGGGTTAAAATATTACTTTTCCTTTTTTTTTTAACTTAAGTGCAATAGCTTAACAAATAGTATTTAATTTAATTTAAGCAAATAAAGATGGCATTATTGTTTTGAAAAGAAATAAATAGTTTTCAATATCCAAAAACATTTTTCACTCAGTACCTTCTCTAATCAATACCTTTCAAAAACATTTTTTACTCAATACCTTCTATATTACTCAGTGTCTTCCATAAGTAAGCATAAACATCAACAACACATACTTTCACACTGTATCTAACTTCACTTTACATACCTTAATCTTTGGTATTACGTAAATTGAAGAAGTTGACGTGTTAGATTGTTGAAACGTTTTGATTACGAAAAAAATTTGGGTGCGCATAATGCAACACTATCAATGTGCCTGCTTTTTTTTTTTTTTTTAAAGTATTAGTAGAAAATTTAGGTAATAAGGCAGATGAATAGTATTACTGTTGTTTGGGTTTCCTGTAATATCATTTGTTCTTGTCAGTATTATTAATTATTATTAATAAATCAACTTTAGCAAAATGAACGTTTACATCTTTTATTATTTTCATAAAATTATAGGAGCTTCACTATGTATTTTAGTAGTATTTACTTTACCTATACTGTTGGATTGAAAGAATGTTGGAAAAGCATAGGATAACCCTTTGTCTTTTCAAAATTACTGTTTGCAAAATTGCTGAAATCTAACAATTTCATTTCTCATCAATGCTCAGAGTACATGCATATCGTAATCTAGTAAATTATACCGTAACCTAATATTAGAATTTGCTTCAGTTTAATAATTCTTTTAGAATAATTGGTTAGCAGATAACTCGAGAAATGTTACACTTTTTGCTGAAGCAATTTCTTTGTTCATTTTCACAATAGCCATTTATTTTTATATTTTTATTGCTGAACTATGTATGTATAAAAAGTCCTAAATGTTTTATTTTAACATCGCGAAAGTCGTAAGTACCACGGAGTTGCTCAATATGCGGGAAAATTTGGGAGATTAAGATTCGATTTTTGTCCAAAAGTAGACCATAAGGGGATTTCTATGTATAAATTATATGAATCAAATATTTCTACAAATTATTTTATTGCTCAGACCTGAGGTATTTTTTATCAATAATTCATCAAAAACCCCCAAAACTCCAAAGGTTAAAATGATGGTACTTTTTGGTTTTTTTTGATTACCTGACCTGAACAAGGAATTACTGTAATTTCACGTCCTCTCATTCATATGGTTTTTTATTCAATCATAGCGTATTTTTGAAAGAGGATAAAGACAGGAAATCTTCTATAAAATTTCATTCCCTCCTTTATTTTGAATTGAATTGCAAGAGAGTAATAATGGGAACAAAGGGAAAGAGATAGATCACACTGTCACCATGATGTCACCTTTTGATGTTACCATCGGGAATTCCACCTGTTGTTGGTTTCTTAGGCAACGATGCATCACTGGAATATGTATTGCAATGAGGGCACATCCATGTTACTTGTGCACATCCACTCAGTTGTCTACACCTGAAGTTTGTCTTTTAAAATTTTGAGATTTCAGAATTTAACTTAGGAAATAATGAAAGATGGATAATAAGCAAAGATAATTGCATTAAAAATAAGACCAACGTCATTATTAGATAATTTGATTAGCTTGGAATGGGAAATGAAATTGAAATTGCTATTTCATTTGCATAGAAACAAATATCTCTATGCTTTTACCTTCCAGAATTTAAAAGAGTTTAATTTGGATTCAATGATAGGTCATCTGAGAGAAAAGCTCACGATGTTCACATGTAATCCATACCTTAAGTGTTGTTAATTTTTTTTTTTAATTTGCGTTTCTTGGCTTATATATTTTTTGAATTTGCGAAAAATACATGTCTAATAAAATTGTTTTCTCTTGTTCAATTGTCATTATTTCTAACTTTTTTCTTACGTTTTAAAAAATAAATTTGCACTTTGTTAAGAGCATTAACTTAGTATGGCCGAGTAGATGACATCTTTGAAGACCTTTGGAAAATGCGAGAAGCTTAATCAAGAAAATAAACTGAAAACTTTAAGTAATTCGGATTAACAAAGAGGTAATAGTAAGAAATTCTGGATTATTTTAAAAGTCTTTCACACAATTACTTTTTTTGTCTTATGCTTAATTCATCAATAAAGTTGCGAAAAGAAAAGAAAAATCTCTATTTGTAATGTGCAAAAATATTGCGATAAAATAAGGAATCGTAATGAAAAACATTAGATGCAATGATTACCGCACCAGATATGATAAGGATAGTGATAACATTGAGAGTAACAATGCAATAGCATTGCATCAACATTATAAGGTCCAGTTCCCAAGGAAAATTTATGATACTAAACGTTTAAAATGTTCTGTTCGTTGCTTTCCATCCGTTAAGCCTATGATCGACAGGGAAATTTATACGCGATAGTTTTGCATTCCAGATTAAATAATCACAATTTACCTTTGACAGGTGTGTGATTTCATTCCTGGATTCTTTAGCAATATCGTCAAACGATCCAACATTGCAGCACGGGCCCGAATTGATAGGCAATCGTCTACACAAAAAAAAGCTATTTTTTAAACTTCTTCCTCAAAATTCTTGAATTTAAAAAGGTGAAATGTATTCTTGGAAGAATGACAAGATCAAAAATGCTAACAAGTTTGTTGTTGAGTCATTTCGAGCAAATGCTCTGGCCGATGAAGCATCTGAAGGCAAGGATCGAGCAACTGATGCAGGAAGCATCGATCCAGCAATGATAATCTTACAAATACTGATAACTGAAATTGGAAGAACATTTTTATTACCTTAAAAGGAATGAGAATTGGAAGTGATTTCCGTTGTTATTGTTTTAAATTTGTGAAGTAACTGAGCGGTCTAAATTTTTGTAAATTTCAAGCTATTAAATTCAATTCGAAACTTTAATCCGAAATATTTTCAAATTTCACACTTGTCACAATTTAAAGTTTTCAAACCAATCAGTAAAATTTTAACAGAACCATTCATATAGGTAATTAAGCGATGAAATTTTAGAAATTGGGAAATATTATAGTAATTTTGGAAAATTAACACAATTTTGCTAACTTGAGTATGAGGCGCAAGAAGTAGCATTGCGCATTTCCTCAACAAGCCCGATGATTCCATCTTACAAGCTGCCATCAGTACTGGTCCTATATTAGCTTCTGCAATTTGACAAATCATTAAATTTTTTATAATTTGCGACAAATTCAAGCGACAGGAATCAATATTTAGTTGCACCTTAAAGTGTGAAACCAAACGAAGCATTCCTTACCAGATCGATCCAGAATCGGATCTACTGACTGCATACTTTTGAGTGATATACAAACCTGTTATCCTAAGTTGTGGCGGATAAACTGCCATTAGAAAAGCTTTCAGTTCTTCATGTGTACATGGACAAAATATTTCATCCATATTCTTGATTGAAGATATACGTTCCTAAATAGATTTTTCGAAAATCTTTCCTTTTTCAAACTGTCGAACAAATTTGAAAAAGACATTAGAACTTGTTTAATTATAATTTTACCACTGTTATACTTTAAAACATGACGCAAATTTGGAGAGGATTATTTGGATAAAGGTTAAAATTCAAATTAATTGAATTGCATTTTAAAACAAAGTTCCGTCCCTGAACAACAAAGTAAATAATATCAATATTTTACCAGGATAACATTCGACCATGCAGCGATGTAATACGGATTGATGTAATAACCGCGACCTGTTTTAGTACGAATCATTGCAAAATTTAACTCCGTGAGACGATGGAACTGTTCCAGGTCAACGGGTTGCTCCAACATTTCCTGTAGAGATTGTTCGTTATATTATCAATTTATCATCTTATCATTTTGTTAGAAAATGTAAGCATAGTTGTAGCTAATAAAATTTTTGGAGTTTTTCCACGTTTCTAAAATATCTAGAAAAATAAAATTATCGAGATTTGCAAAAAATTTGGGAAATTTCGATAACCTCAGGTGCTGAAGAGCCATGCAGCCTTTCCAGCAACAGTACTTTGACACGGTCACTTAGACCATAATAACGGCTACCCGTAAGATCAATTTTTGAATTGGGCCTCATCTCTCGCAAACATAATACCAATAAACGATTTAATTTATACCTAAAATTGATAGTCTGAAAAGTGACTGGAATCAATATGGAAATAAGTAGTTTTAAATTTCATTAAACAAATGCAGTATTTCTTGATTATCAGAGTTATTAGTTTAAATCAATCAGCAATAAACTTTCAAAAAATGCTCATGCAATTGTTTGAACTATTTTAGTAATCTGAGCTAATTATTAACCGCCGCCATAAGGAATACCTGTCAGCTAGCCAGACTTTTTCCAAGAAAGGCAATTTATGTTGCACAAGGAAGCATTCACAACGATGTAAAAGGCCATCCATCTGAAGTTTTGTTCAATTCAAATTTTAAATTACTATCATTTCTGATTTAAAAACATTAAAAAATACATATTATCCACTTCACTAGTCGCGAAAAAAATTAAGGATCAAATGTTAATGATTTTCAATATTTTCTATTGGATAAAGTTTGCAATTACAAATAATATCTTGAGATGAACATGGTAAGAATTCTCTTTAAATTTGATGTTCTTCAAGCTCTTGGGGATTTGGGTATTTCTCAAAACACGGAAAATGTGGTAGATAGTCCTTGATGATTATTAAAATATTTTATGATATTAATGAATGAATGAAATAAATCTATGCTCGGAAAGTGAAATGCTTACCTGATAATCGAAAGCAAGTGGTAGTAGAATATGTACAGATTGATCGTCCACTTCCTTATAAGTTGGATGTATGCAATGAAGCATTTCAAGAACATGATCGTATTGTACATTTGCTAGAATCAGTTCACGATCGGGACATTCAACACACCAAGCTCTTAAAAAATACTTTTAAAGTTACTAGCTCCAAATGATTCTTTTTTTAAGCGGATATGAGCCCATATATATGGTAACTTGAGGTGTTTTTGAAATTAAGAAAAAGAAAAAATCTGACAGAAGAGAAAGAATGAATTCTCAAAAATGCTAAGGGAATGTCAAGAGATTTTTTTTTTTTCAACTTCTGATAATAAAGGGAAAGGGAGAAATTGAGTAGGAATGAAATGTGTTCACATTTGCTCAACTAAGGATTGCAATTCATTTATATCCGAAATGTCAACGACATTTTTTGAGTAAATATAATTTAATTTGGTTCATTCCAAAGATTTCAATTTGATTCCAACTCCATTTCCTTCTTTCTATTTCATTTTATTTTATATTTTCAGTTCACCATCATATCATCTTATCTTATTACTTCAGTTTCTGTTTTCGGCAATTTTTAGATTCTCCAACTCTTTTGATTTTCAACAATATTAAAATTTCAAGAATTTATCAAATAAAATACTTTATCCTACCAATATTATTTGCATCAAATCTTTTTTTATCATACTTTGCATGTTCCGAGAAACGAACCGTAGAACGGGTGACCATACAGAAATATAGTGCTCGTCCACATATAACCGTTTCCCATCTACTAGAAGCGGTCGAGTACGTTGACCATCCGGTCGTGTGAAATCGATTATCACTTCGATAGAATTTGTAGCCGTTCTGTCGTACTGTTCCATTACATTCCACAGAACAAGCTAAATTAATTCCATCATATCTTGTAAAGAAAGACGTTATAGTCCTTAGCATCACTTCAATGGAGCATCGAACTACATAGGTCAAGCTAAAAACCCTGAACAAAGGTCATGTGTATAGTAAATTTTGAAAAAAAAAAAAAATGATAAGTATTGAAAACGATACTTTTCTTTGCCTACACTTGTTGCTGATATCTACATATTAGTACTTCATGTTTATGCTATCTTTTATTTCTGAATAAGAAAAAATATTGTTAAATTATCAATTAGGGGACAATCATATGTGAATAGTGCTTAATCAGATGAACTAGAAAGGCCTGATAATAAGGGAGAGGAAGAAATCGTTGTAGAATGTGTGGAAGGAAAACTGTTAATACTTTGAAATAGTAGCGAATTTTGGTAAAAGCTACTGATAAATATATCAGTGATTTGTTTATTTGCTAAATGAATAACTTAATTTTTCCGCTTAAACACTAATTATTATATGTGCTCCCTCTCTTTCTAAATGGAAGGAATGCTTATGTTTTGAATTGAGCTTCATTATCTAATAATTTATAAGTCCAAAAATGAGAGGATATGTTGAAGGATGGCATTATCGATCGGGTGACAAATTATAAAAGGTTTTAGCACAGTGAAAAGGAAAGAACGAGCAATTGCTTTATATTTATTCCCTTCATATTTTTAAATGCGCAATATCGCAGTTGCAAGCATTGATCGTTTGGTTGAAATTTAGTATTTGATTTTAGGAAGGAAATTTAGTTATGAAATTTTGAATATCCATTCAACAAATCTGATTAATCCGTCCGCTCTTTGTGCATAAATTTGAAGGAGGAAAAAATAAAACTTCAAAAGTAATAATACAAACTTTGAAAGCTTTCAACCGAATTGTTTGAATGACATGGAAAGAGACGGAGAATGTTTTTTTTTTTCTCAACTAATCAATGAAGTATTCAATAAAGCTAGTACATTTATTAGACACGCAGAATGTACCTATCAGTTCGGAATAAACTAATGGTGAAAACTTGGCAATAAGTCTTGCTTGATAGTTAATAATTTATTCAAGCATTAAATTAAGCAAGTTTATGAGAGTAGTCCATGTAAACATCCATACAGATAGATAATTTAATGATTTTGTGTCCATAAAAATTTTTAAAAAACCATTTTTGAGAAAAAATTTGATAATTTTGAGATGATACTAAAAAGATAAGCTGATAAGTAATGATTTGCATCAAGAAGTAACTGAATCAAAATGTAGAAGAATAATTGAAAATGAAGGGAGAGGTATGTTTTCTTCTATCTAATTTATCATTGTTCATCATCCATTATTCTCTTTCATTTTTCTGCAATATTTCCAGAATCCAATGGATCGACAGATGAAATAGAAGAAAATGGATTAGATATTGAGTAAACAAAATATTCAAATCCCTTAACAAATTCCCAGCAGTAACGAATAATTACTAGATTTTTTCTTTTTTTTTTTTCTTAGGAATTACTCTATAATCCCAAAGGCATAAATCGTAGCAATAGTAATTGGAGATGCCACAAAGGATAGGTGAATAATACTTCATATACTATCTCACCTTGGAAGTTACCCATAAAAAGAAATAGAACTTATGTGGATGTACCTAGGTAAATCGAAAAAGAATGATACTACGGAATTAATTAATACAGATAAAAGCAATTACTAAATGAATTAGGAGTATTATTTACATCTAAGTTACTACTAAGAACACTAGAAAATTAGCTCTTAATTGGAAGTTACACAGATGTTAGAGCAGAAAGTTAGCTAGCCTTTTTAAATCTGGTAGTTTCTAATTAGACAAACTTCCTAAGCTTTTAGCTTGATTTGTAAGGGGGAAAAAAAAAGGACAGCAAACTTCGATATACCTTATCGGGCGATGATGGAGGATAATTACCAACGATTGGCCTGGATGAAGACGGCTGTGAATTGATATATTCGCAGTCGTCGTTATCGATCATAATTTTGGCTTGTGCGACATTTGTGACTATCAGAAATATGTGCTGTTGTCCAAATAAATGCCATCAGTTAATAATATCAGTTCATAAATAATTACTGCAGGTGAAAATTAAAGATGCAAATAGATAAAGGATTGTCGTATGTACATTTTGATCCAAAGGGAGAAAATTGTCTAAAAAGAAGTTTTCATACTGTCAATTGCGCCTAAAGACGATTGGACACATTTAACCATATCAACCGCATAATACTTTTGCAAATAACCTTTCTTTTAGCTTAAATTAAATTGATTTAAAAAATTTTTTAATTATCTTACTAATACTTTTGCAAATTTACTACATTTTTCAACAAATTCATACTTCTATTATATCAAAAAACACTGATGATACAGTTATAGATGGTGAGAAATTTTATGAGTATTAATTTCAATTTTCTTAAAAAGAAATATGTATATAATATGACATTGGGATGGCGCGCAAAAAGCTTCATTGAAATCATTTAACTATTCGATTTGAGAAGCACGTATATTTATCTTAAAAAGATCAAAATTCATAGACAATTTCAGTCCAATTTCTTTCTTTCTTATCATTTTAATCACTTCAATAAGTTTAACAAGTTCATATCACAAGATTAAAATATTTGCAAAATTATCAAAATTATCATGTAAATATTTGGAATATTTTGCTTTTCAATGAAAACTATGGAAACATATGGGGGGAAAGATGGAAAGAAAAAGCGAAGAAAGAATTTCCCTCTCTATTTCAATGAGATGAGATGACAAGCAATCGAACTTTACAATAAAGTTCAGAAGCAATTGACATGCTTAGCTTACTCTCCTTTTGTAGGACAGATGACAATCTGTAAGTCAGTTTATTCATGCTTATTTGTTTGAAATGACAAAATGTCGTCATTACGAAATTAAGAAAATAAAAACAGCAAGTTTTCGAGTTAATTATAAAGAACGTTTGATAACAAAACAGATTAAGTATGTGCAAATGGCATCGTCAAGATCGATTAACATCTCACGATATGGAAAAAAAAGGAAAAACAGAGGAAGACGAAAATTTTGGACTTCCATTGAGATGCACACACACACACACACACACACACACACATACCCATACACACACACGCACACACACATACACAAGCATACACATACATGTGTGATTACATCTCTCCTGAAGAAGTAATAAAACATTTATTTTCGAAGAAAAGCAAATTTATTTGCATTTTTTCCTTTATGTTAAGTGTCATTGGTAAGAAGTGTATATTGGCAAAGGGAAGATCAGAAATTCTTGCATAATTAATATTTTTGCTGAGAAAAATCGAGAATTCATAACGTGAAAAGGTTTCGGGATTGAAGGAACAACAATTCATAACGTGAAAAGGTTTCGGGATTGAAGGAACAACAATTCATAACGTGAAAAGGTTTCGGGATTGAAGG